CCCCAAAACCCCAAAACCCCAAAACCCCAAAACCCCAGAACAAGTATAAAAGTAGATAACAAGTTAGCATATTAAAATTCTAGAAAACATAATGAAGAGAATGAGAATCAAAGTCTACAGTAAAGGTAAGCTAGGTTAGTTTTTGGGTGAACAGATTTGGGGTGGAGATAATTTGGTGTAGGAAGACCAACTCCCAGACAGAGCTCACAGGTTTTGGCAGAGGGGAGGAGACCGAAGAAGGTAGCTAGCAACAAGAACCAAGTGAAATTTGATTTTTCTCACATGAAATGAAGAAGTCCTCCAACTACTCAAAAGGAATTACCATCTATCAATTTTATACCTTCCAGAAAACCCAAGAGCTGCCTAAAAGTAACGAATCCAAATGCAGCTAACTTTTCGTCAGGTACGTAATTTTTTTGCATTTTTTCTTAACTTCATCCTGTCAACAGGCTCTCAAACTTTTATATAGAAACAACTTCAAATTTGTCAGACTCGGTAGATAAATTGCAGCTTCCCCACGTAAAGAAGGTGACTCAAGCTTCCAAATTCAAGCAGTTGCTAAGCAGTGATCCTGATCTGTCATTATCTAATGGTAACTAAAATCCCTAATTAACAGTACAATTTGCTGTTTGGTGAACACTTTTAAAATGTACTGAACCAGACACAAACTCAACAATTTATGTACAGATTTGTTCATAATCATCACTATCTTGAAATCTTTGTGAATACCTGTGATTTATTCCCTCAAAAGCCAATTTTAATTTTCAATCTGGCCAAAATCTTTTCGATTCGAATTTTATCTCACATAACCTTATTTAGTGATGGACGAATCCGACAGTGTTTCAAACTTTTCAGATTCGTGAAATGATGATATTCTTCAGATGAGTGTAAGCTTAGCCTTTGTTTGGCATAGTCTTATGTGTTTAGGAATCTGAAAGCCTCCATCTCAACAACATGCTGAAGAAGAAAAGTAAAGGAACTTCGGAAATTCTCAGCATGATTTTTGATAACAACTATGAGCATAATAAAAGTAATTAAATTCAGCTAACTTTAGAATCGAAACTTACTGGTACTCTGTTGCAGGATAGATATGAGAGCATTAGGGATGCACCAAAAGAAAATGTAGTCAAAATGGGTTGAGAAGAATTATCAAGCTCTAACATTCCATTTGAAAAGAATTTGCTGATCGATAAAGACAGTATGAAGGAAATAGTCAAGCGGTCAACAAAGAATCTGAGTGAGCTTCCTTTCTATTTCATATATTAACTATCCAAGTTTCACTCTAATCATCATTTATAGAAGACTTCGATCAGCTTGAAGGAGATAACTCAAAACCATATAAAAAAAGCAAATTCAAAACAAGTAAAACCAACAAGACAAATTCTTAATTTTAGTGTTAAAATATTCAAAATAACAAAATATAATTCTCTATTCTAAATTGGTGTAATTCAACATTCACTCCCAATCTCGGGGTTTTGGGGTTTTGGGGTTTTGGGGTTTTGGGGTTTTGGGG